GGTGTGTGCTTAGTCTCCAAACTGAGCAACCTAACATAACATTATAGTCTGTAAAAACACATCCAAATACTCCAGCTACAAATGTTACAATCTGAAGGGCACTACTTTAACATTATAAAATAAACAAAATCACAATGTATATTATGGTACAACAAGTGGGTAATATTATGCATATTTTACATTTGTCCAAGATAGAAAAAGAAAAACTGAATACAAAGGTTTTAAACTATTTCTCCACATAGCTTCTCATTACACACACACATAAATATATATATACACACACATTTCATGGCTTTCCTTAGCAAGAAAACAAAACTCAGCCAACCAAAAACAAAAACAATTTTTCTTTTTATACAATATGGCAGCAGCAAAATCATTTCCGGCATAACACTTATTCAACAAAATAACTGAATTTAGTCTCAGCAATTGACAACCGAAAATGATAATACTCCGACATTTTATTGCTGATAAACATTCATAATCAGTGAAATAACAAGGATTATGTTGGTTAGTTTAGTGGTACTTGTGGTAGTTCAGTAGCGAGCACAGCTGTCTTTATGCTCAGTGGTCACAGATTTTAATCCTGACAAAGCAAAAATTTGAATTCTTGACTGTGTATCCAGGTAAAACTGGTCTAATAAAATGTTTAGACTATAATTTGCTTCTAACAAATTTTATCTACACTTAGCCTTTCAGCCAACAACATACAGGGTCACTGAGAATGATTGCTGGGATTTTCATCTGTTATTTTACAAGAAGTGTTTGACGGATATACATTTAAGGCATCTTAAAATATTCAGAAAAAAATGTAGTTTTAGACTTACCTAGTAAACTTTGATAAGGATGCCATTTGTAGCTGTGATGTCCAGATGATATCCAGTCTGCTGCTACATCTTCTGATTCGTGACTAGAGTTACAGATGCAGTTGCTGCAGCAATTATCTTTTTAAGGTGTTAATTGTTCTTTTTTTTAAGGTGCTAATTGTTCCTTATCTTCTCAGTGCCGTTTTAAGCCTTACAATCACACAAAGTCACATAAAACTGTAGACCTTTCTCAACAGTTTAAGACACCACACATACACATCACTTAATTACTTCTTTTATATATAAGAGCTTCAGTCCTGGCAATCAATCCTGATGACCCTGTATATATAAACACCCCCCCCCCAACACTGAACACAAGACTGCTGGTCTAGCATGCATGTATGCTAATCCCTGCACTACCACAGTTCCACAAAAAACAACTTGTTCACCAAATACAGTGTTTAAAAGTACAAAATAAAACACCCTCACAATAACAAACAGCCACTGGAATAATATTGTGTAAATTGCAACAAAAGAGCAGAGTATAAAACCTTTTCTACAAAGCACATTACTGTAACCCCTGAATATATTTATCTTCAAACAACAGGTTGAATTCTTTTTTTTCAACATCAAAATGATTTCAGCTTAACTTATGAAACAGCAAATACAACATAGACCTACAATCTGACTATACAGTCACAACAACCCCAGGCATAGATAGAAAAGCTGAAGAATGAGAACCAGTACTGCATGCAAAGACCCTTGAACATGTCTTCAACTCTTACCCAAAACCCTAATGGACACATGTATAGAGTGGTGGATCATTGGAGGGAGTAGCAAAAAAACTGAGGAGCTCGTTCTGTCATCATGCTGCAAGATGGGACCACAGTGGAAACGTCACATGCCCTGGGAAACTCTTAACAAACGTCAAAGCAGAGCAGCAAGCAATTATTGATGCAGTCAAAGTGTTTGAGAAAAGAAAAATTAAAAACCGCAAAATTGTTTCCCGGTGTGGCTGCATGACAGTCCTCCAGGCAACTCAAAGGGATCTACAAGACTACATGGAGAGAGAACTGACCTGCTGGTCAAACAGACTCTCAGAAAACAAATTGTTCTGCAGTGGATCCCAGCTTACTGCAGCATACCAGGAAATGAGTTAGCGGACATACTTGTAAAAAAACATAACAAAGGAGAAACAACACACCCATTCATTATCCACTGTCACTACTTAAATCAGAACACTTATCAAAGGAAAATACAAGGAATTGTGGAGAGAATAAATCAACAGTAAACATCCACAAGACCCCATCAGCAGACTCAACAGAAAGCAACATACAACAATTTTCCATCTACACATAGGACACTGCAGGCTCAACTACCACATGCATTAAATAAAGACTGTGCAGTCCCCACAGTGTGCCTGACAGACAGGACCACAGACACCTGAGCACATTCTTCAGACCTACAACTTTGAAAAGAAACTCGACCTCAAGAGCAAAGTGTGCAAAGCAAGCTATGGGGAACAATGAAGGACCTGCAGCTGACATGCGAGTACATAAAGTGAACCGGCCTGGTATGACAGAATCACTAACGCTGAGCTTTGGGAGAGAACCAAACAAGTTCCAGTTGACCAAGAGGTGAAGAAAAGATGTTGGTGTTCCAAAGGACTGAGAAAATGTGAGAACAATATAACTAGAATGTCTTTATACTGAAACCCACAGGGGCATAGAAATATAGGCAGAACCAAAAAAAATTAAGAAGACAGTTAGAAAGTGAAGTTAAAAAGATGTGGTGGACATGGGGTGAGCTGTATATGATAGCGAAGAATAGAACGACTTGGTGTGGGTGTGTTTGGATGCCTATGTTCCATTGGGAGACAGAAGACAGAAGAAGAAGACAAAGAAGTATTGGAAACTATTACTGATTTCAAGATTGATGTTTTTGTTTTTCTCAAAGTTCTTCATAATATCACAGCTTTTGCTGTTTGAGAATCTTAACAGAGTAAGCTCACTAGTACAGTTTATCAATTCGAATTACATAAGTTGTTTATTGGTATCAGAGCTCACTAAAATGTATTCCTTCATAAGATCTTAAATATATACCAATTATTGCCACAAACAGCATATAAAAATGCCATTCCTTTTGCCCAATCCAGAAGCTACATTTAACCAGTGCTTTCATCTTCTTCTTCATGATACACAATAGACAGAACTAAGTACCCACAGTGACAATGGAAAAACAGCTTGCACATCTGTGCTGACATTTGAAATAGAATGCAATTAATCAATTAAATGATTCTAGCAACTCAAAATTTAGAACACAGTCCACATTCAATCAATCTTTCATTTATCAGGTGAAAAACCCTGGAGTAAATAGGCACCCCTAAAACAGTGAATTATTTCAGGAAAATGGGAATGTCTGGCTACACCATCAATATCACAAGTTTTCAAATGAGTTCATTAGCTCGTGTGTGAGTTTGTGTGCATGCATGTGCATACATGTATTTATGATTTTTTGTGTGAATGAGTCATATGTGAAAATAATAGACCCCATTATAGTCATTCACATTTCACAATCCTGGGCAACATACAGAAATGAAAGTAAACAAAGACACCTTCCATTTGAATATACATGAAGCAAGGGAACTGGCAAAAGACTGAGTCTTTCTTGCAGCTATAATGAGAGTGACTTTATGTTAAAGTACCAGTTACATGAACAATATATGGTAGGGATCATGGGAGCCACATATACACAATGATACTGTGAACCATTTTCAACAGCCATCTTTATGAATGGTTATTTAACCAATGGCACTCCACTGTTTTCAGAATATGATAAAATTATCAGGGTTTGTTGGTTGGATACTTGTGAATCTTCTGGAAGACTAGAATTTCAACTCTGTAATCTGATGCATTAGTGTCCTGGTCATCAGAATTCTCATGGGGAAAAAAAGCTTTCAACTGTTTGACTGAGACTGGTATAGCTCCCTCAAAGTGGCACTAATGTACCATCTGTACAATGATTGCTGCAGTGATCTCCATGCCCTCTCCAAGCTTAGAAACCAGCATATTGGTACTGGAACTTCCCATCAGCAGATAAGCACATAGGGCTGTGCCTTGCTAGATGATGCAGGTATTCATTTATTTATACAGATTTTGCTCAAAGGTGTTCTATAATCAATGTTGCTCTGTACATGGCACATACAGATGGCAGAGAATGGACTCAATTGTTTGTATTGCTTTTCCTACAAGCTGTACATATTCCATTGTCAACAGACTTACTAAATGCCCAAAACAAAACAATGCAATAACAATTAATCATGGAATATACATTAAATAAAACATTATAATAAATATGATGACAAACAAAATCCAGGTAAACAGTGTACACACAACAAAGATCTTAGAACAATTGAAGTTATATAAGTTACTACCTGTTACTTCGTTGATCTCAAATATCTAAACACACAATCCAGTCACAGCCTAGTTTTTATGATGCAATGCTTCACGGCAGTGGCCCCATGCTTCTGTCTGCAGTTATTCATTCAATTATTTGCATATGTAAATGCTTAGTTATTTTGTCCCCAAAGACATGCACACAGTATCAGCTGGTGACACTCCTATCAATCAATTTATTATTTTCAAATGAAATTTACTTTTTTTACCTCCATTTTAGAAGTATGAAAATATCATTTACCAAGAATGTAACATCTATTTTATCTATATCATTTATTTTTAAATCTTTCAATTTGGGAAAATACATATGTACAGTTGCATTTTCCTTTGAATCTTTTACAAAGATGACATATACTTCCTGTTTTTCCAATTTTGTTTTTCTGTTCAACTCATTAATTTATGCTACCTTTTAATCTAAATTACATGTCCGTAAACCCAAAACGCCTCACGGTGTGGAAAAAGATCCTTAACTTTTTTTTTAACTCACCATGTAATATGTTGTCTGACCCTTTTCCTTCTGGAAATTCATAAATCTAGAGCCTCAATTCAATTTTCTATTCTTATTCACTGCCCAGGTAAGCTCCAATGGAATATACCAAATCCCAAAATACAAACAATTTATAGTCAAATATATACACCATTTACCAACCACGTTTTTCTTTCAGCACACTACTTGCCTTAGTTCAGTACTGACTGCAACAACTCTTCAGTTAATTGAAACAATTATTTCTACATACCACCTTTAACAACACCGACTCTCTCCTTGACCTTCTGCCAAGTGAACAGCATCCTTCGGTTTGGCATATCCCGCTTTAACTCCATCCCAACCTTGCTCTATTTTTATATGACCCTCCTGCAAGTGCTGGTATGTGTCTTTTGCTATCTCAGCAAATGCTTCTTCCACATTTTGCCCAGTTTTAGCTGAAGTTTCAAAGAATTTCAGTCCATGCATTTCTGCAAATCGTTTGCCCTCACGAAACGTGACCTGTCGTTGTTCTTCAGCATCAGACTTGTGACCCAAAATGACAAATATTGCTTTGTGTGCTTCGATGTGCTCCCGAGCTTCTTCATACCAGACTTTAAGGTTCTCAAAACTGTGTCGCTTTGTGATGTCATAGGCAATAATGACTCCCACAGAGTTGCGATAGTATGACCGTGTAATTGACCTAGAGAATAAAAAATAACAATATTTACATAATTTCATGATACTTGTATGAATGTGTCATGTAATATTCTTCTGTACTCTCAGCTTAGGGAAACATGATGCAGTGGCCACACCATTTACGTGCTTGAACTGGTAATGGGGTCAAACCCCTTCAAGGAGTGCAGAGAGTGGCCAGCTGGTGCTGCAGAATCAGATGTTCAACAGATGATTCATGACAATTCCCGCCCAAGTGATGTGATTATCTACACAGATGGCTCTGTGTTGAAGGCAGACAAAGTGCATGGGGTTTCAAAGCAAAGGAGAATGGACGTCGCTTAGTGCAGCAAAGCCTTGCATATGACATCACAATGTCTAGTTTGAGAATGGAGGTGGAGGCAGTCTCCTCTGCCTTCCCCTGGCTTGGGAATCAGCTGTACACACATGCTGTGATTGTAATTGACACACAATGCATGTTGAGAAAGATGAAAACAGACATGCTTCATGCAGAGTGACAAGCATCATTTCAGATGTCCCGGTTAGTTGGCATCTTTTGGATATTTTCTCCAGGTCATGCCTGGGTTTTGGGAAATGAGTAGGCACATAGGCTCTGCCCCACTTGGTGGTGAATTGATGTATGACAAGTTATATATTGTGAGGGCCCTTTGGGAGTGAGTGAACAGTGTGGAGGTGCAGATAGATCATTACGGTCTAAGGAGAACGGTGCTGTAAGGAGTTACCAGGGAATCTGGCCAACGCTCAACACTCAGGGAAAGGATATACAATCAGACGGATACTTATACTCTTCGCTTGCTGCTGAAGATGGGGGACTGAGCAATTATGGGAGTGTCCCGAGTGCTGTTAAGTTGATTCTTAGTTCAACATTCAACCCTTTAAAAGATTTTTTTTTTTTTACATTGATCTTAGCACCAAGGTCACACAACTTAAAATTTGTTCACGGGAATGTTTAGTGAAAAATATTGCCTCATGCCTGTATTAGACTATGAAGGAATGATAATGATGACGTCACTCATCAAGTGTTGACTGGCCTATAAAAATATGGTACATATAGATAAAGCTTTTCAAATGAGAAATGTATTTATTCACTCTTAATTATAGTATAAAACCAAGCTACACATATGCTGATGTTATTTCATTATTAACATATAGCAGTGGAAGTTGGAGAATCACTAAAAACATGGAGCAAATGTTAGAAGCATTTGAAAATATGTGTAAAGAAACATGAACAATACTTGAGATCAATTAAAGAAAGACAAACAAATATAAACAATGTCTGGACAACTGCTGGTATCAACATTTAAAAGACAAAGAAGATGGCAATATATTGGGCCAAGCTAAGGAGAAAACAGAGAATAACTAAACAGACACTTAAATGGGAAACAAACCGATTGATGAAACAAGGACATCTAATAGAACCCCTAAAATGAACAATGATGAGAGAGGCCAAAGGTGCTGGCCTGGATTCCATCCATGATACTGAAACAACTGCACAAGATAGAATGGAAGAATAAACCGTGAGCTGTACGTGACAAAAAAACAGCACAAGATGCCAATGATGATGGATCCTAGATGTTACAGTCATCATATCTGTGCCACAGATTTCTTAGCTGTCCATAAAAATAATTTCTCATACAGATATTCTTCAATATCAGCCTCCTAAATTTTATTTAGATTTCTTCAGTGAGCTGGGAGGGAAAATAGTGACTAGGTGATGGGATGAAGGAAATGATTTAGCATTGTGGAAGGCAAGTGAGTGAGGGAGGTTATGAAGTCACTTAGCAAAGGATGTTGAGATATTGAGGGAGGTTAGGAAGTTAGCAAGGAGAATGTTGAGCTAGTGAGGGAGAGTAGGAAGTTGGCAAAGAGAATTTTGAGCTAGTGAGTGAGTTTAGGAAGTTGGCAAAGAGAATATTGAGCTAGTGAGGAAGCACAGGAAGTTAGCAAAGAGAATATTGAGCTAGTGAAGGAGTTTAGGAAGTTAGCAAAGAGAATTGTGAGCTAGTGAGGGAGTTAAGGAAGTTGGCAAATAGAATGTTGAGCTAGTAAGGGAGTTTAGGAAGTTGGCAAAGAGAATGTTGAGCTAGTAAGGGAGTTAAGGAAGTTGGCAGAGAGAATGTTGAGCTAGTAAGGAAGTTAAGGAAGTTGGCAGAGAGAATGTTGAGCTAGTAAGGGAGTTTAGGAAGTTGGCAAAGAGAAGTGTGAGCTAGTGAGAGAGGTCAGGAAGTTGGCAAAGAGAACTGTGAGCTAGTAAGGGAGTTAAGGAAGTTGGCAAACAGAATGTTGAGCTAGTGATGGAAGTTAGGAAGTCACTTAGCAAAGAGAATTGTGAGCTAGTGGTGGAGGTTAGGAAGCCACTTAGCAAAAGAGAATTGTAAGCTAATGAGGGGGGGGGGGGGGGGGGGGGGGGCGTTAGGAAGTTAGCAAAGATAACTGTGAACTAGTGAGGGAGGTTAGGAAGTTAGCAAAGATAACTGTGAACTAGTGAGGGAGGTTAGGAAGTTAGCAAAGATAACTGTAAACCTGTGAGGGAGTTTAGGTATTCACTTAGCAAAGAACATGTTGAGCTAGTGAAGCAGGTCAGGAAGTCACTTAGCCAAGCGAATGGTGAGTGAGCTAGTGACGGAGATTAGGAATTCACTTAGCAAAGAGCATGGTTAGCTAGTGAGGTAGATTACCAAGTTAGCAAAATAACTTAGCAAAGCAAATGCTGAGCTTTTGAGGTAGATTAGGAAATCACTTAGCAAAGAGAAGTGTGAGCTAGTGAGGGCGGTAAGGGAGTCACTTAGCAAAGAGAATGCTGAGCTAGTGAGGGAGGTTAGGAAGCCATTTAGCACAGGGGATGGTGAGCTAGTGAGGGAGGTTAGGAAGCCACTCAGCAAAGAGAATTGTGAGTTAGTGAGGGAGGTTAGGAAGCCACTCAGCAAAGAGAATTGTGAGTTAGTGAGGGAGGGAAGGAGGTCACTCGGCAAAGAGAATAGTGAGGTAGTGAGGCAGGTAAGGAAGTCACTTAGCAAAGAGAATAGTGAAGTAGTGAGGGAGGGAAGGAGGTCACTCGGCAAAGAGAATAGTGAGGTAGTGAGGCAGGTAAGGAAGTCACTCAGCAAAGAGAATGGTGAGGTAGTGAGGGAGGGAAGGAGGTCACTCAGCAAAGAGAATAGTGAGGCAGGTAAGGAAGTCACTTAGCAAAGAGAATAGTGAGGTAGTGAGGCAGGTAAGGAAGTCACTTAGCAAAGAGAATGGTGAGGTAGTGAGGGAAAGTGGTTAACTAGTGAATAGGGACAAAAAGCTGTGCTGGTACATGACAATCTGTAGTAAGGATAAAGACAGCCTCACTATGTGTGATCTACTAGCTCCTGTTTTATCAAAGGTATGATGAAATCTGCTGACCAGTTCTCTTCCACACTAGCTTTACTTCCCAGTGAATTCTCACAGTTGTCTGGCAACAAAACTATTCAATGAGGCAGGGTTGAACCCAGGGCTGCACTTCTCATCCTTTGCCTTTCAGCTCCCAGTGGAGCATTGGCCCTCTACTAATGCAAACAAACCTATTGTTGATTTATTCCTGATTTGTTGTATTTTGTGGCAACAGTTTTATACAAGTCTCATGCTAACACTCTTTTGCCATATCTGCCTCGTAAGACATGCATAACTACCAGTAGGTATCAAAGACATACTAGTATTACTGAAAAAATTGCAGCCTGGTAGCAGTGACGAGGCACATATGTAAGGGTTTTATTCACTGCGTGCACTTTCTACTGCTAAGGAAACATTATCATTGTCCTATTTATTATTGCAGTTTACTGTTTATGACAAATAAGCTATTCAGTTTAGCTCTCAAACAGAGAAAGCTTCCTTCAGGCTTATGTCACTCACGGCAGGTGTGTAACTACAATTTCAGCAAGATTACAGTGGAAATATTTATTTTTTAAGAAGTATTAGTAGGCATGACAGACCCATCTTAACAGCATTATGGCCCCCTGGAAAAACTAATGTGCTGAAGCCCCTAGGATAAACACTCATAGAAATAAAAATGTTTATTGATGACAAGTCACTTGATTCGTTAAGATGGCACTGAGGCATGGGACTATCATCTATGGCTTTATAAATGTGGCTCACAGCCGTATGACATCAGTAATTTAGTCATTGTTAATGTGTCGCTAAACAGACAAGCAACAGCCTGTCACAGGCCCTGTGACTATTTGCGTGATTATAATTATTAAATATTAATATTATAATATTAATAATGTATAATATTAATAACATGGGGGAAAGTAGGAATGATTGCGTTAAAAAAAAAAACTTGAGAGATCATCAACATTATAAAAGAAAGTACGATTGTGATGTATAATGCTATAAACACTCGCCTAAATCGTTCTTGTCCCGCTGTATCCCACATCTGCAGTTTAACACGGACTCCAGGCTTGATCTCCACCAGTCGAGCATAGAAGTCTACCCCAACCGTTGGATCACAGGCCTCCTCGAACTTGCCATCTGTGAAATACTTCAGCAGGGAGGATTTCCCTACAGTGCTATCGCCGATCAAGATCAGTCGAAACTGATATTCAAACATTGGGTCAGTCATTTCAATGTGATGTGGTGGTTAGACGATTATGTCGAGTTAAACTGCAACAAAAATGTAGCAGTGACGACAACATCAGCATCAACCACCATAACCTACGTCCCCAGTCTCCACTTCCCGTGTCAGTGTTTTGGTCACATGACATTTCTAGGTCACATTATTTTGTGCAAGTCGATTGGGCCCTAAAAATAGATCTTTCATAAATCATCAGAGTAAACAGTAAACCCTTTTCTTCTGTGTGCATGCGAATCATCTAAAATAAAATACGAAATTGTGAACATAATTATATGGAGGCAGTAGAGATATGTGTATTTTTTGTTAAGAAGATGGTAGAAAAGACTGAATGGGTGATAACTTCTCAAGACAAGGAACTGGCTAAAAAAAAAAATGTGAACAAGTATTTAGCAAACATAAATATCCAACACCAGGAAACAAATCTATGTATGCCAATTACCATTCAGAATGGTTGAACGAGATATCAGTGGTTTAACTATTGCTCAGCAAATCACAATCTTCAGACTTCTCACTGGGCATAAGGATTGAAGTAGATTGTTAATATTAACTAAAAATAAGTGCTACCGGTGAATATAGACAGTTTAGCTATAGGATAAGCATTTACTGCAAAAGTGGACAACACAATTTTGATTATACCTGCAGTTTTTTCTTTTTTAGGATACATTATTTCAGTCTTTGGCGATGTCAACAAGCAGAAGTTGACTGCTGCTTCTGTTTAATATCCCCTGATTGACATCTGCAGGTTATAAAGATGATGACGACGAGTCGCAAGGATCACCTGCAATACTGTGGGTTATCCTCAGTCCCTCTCCGTAGAGCGGCTAACCGCCTATCGACAGCGTCGCTCAAAGCATGCAATTCTGTAGCCCCAGCGACTATCCCCATGTGTCTCCGTAAAAAGCTGCACTCGAAACGAACTGATGACTAGCGGGTTTAGCAAGGCAAATGACGTGACCACAACCCTTCCTCTCCCTGTTTTTATGAAAACGAGTGTACATTATACTGTTAATCAAGGAGCGTCCTCAATTTTTAAGACATCGGTCCTTGGTCCATATGCCGCCTGGGGTGTTGATGTCACTGTTGTTCATTGTCTCTGCTGAGCCGGGAATGCAGAGACCGACCAGCAGGTGCCACAGAGGTGGAAATTTAGCAATTAATTCAAGATAATGCTCGCTCATAGGATTTGATCTTTTACTCGGACGGTTCAGTGTCAACAGGCAGAAGCAGTGCTTAGTTCTTCTTAGCAAAAGTTAATGATTGACGTTTGGTGCAGGAGAGCATAGCATATAATAGAATAATACCACAACATCCAGCTTAAGAATGGAGGTGGAGGGGGTCACTCCTGCTTTCCACTGCCCAGTGAACACGACACACACACACACACACACACACATCGTCATTGTAACTGACTCAGAAAGCATGTTAAGGAAGATCAGAACAGGTATGCCTCTTGCAGAGTGGCATGCTTCGCTGCGGAGGACATAGGTGAAGAGAGAGTATTGTCTGGATTTTTTAACCGGGTTTCGCCGGTGTGTTGGGAAATGAACAGGCGGACAGACTGGCTGGCTCTGCACAACTTTGTGGAATACTGATACATGATAAGGCAGACGTGGTTAGTGCCTTGTGGGAGAGCGTGCACAGTTCGGAGGAGCAGATGGATCACCACAGTCTGGTGAGATTAATGCAGGGGAGTGTGACAAGAGGTTCTGGCAGATGCTCGAGGCTCGGAGGAAAGGCAAGACGAACGTTTAATCAGAATGCTACTGGCACCATTAGAATCGAAACTCTTCGATGGCTGCTGAAGATGGGGACAGAGCGCTTATGGGAATGTCCGTGTGCTGTGATGTCGGTTCTTGAATCAAATCAAATCAAATCAAATCATTGTTCCTTGTCTCCGGGCGCTGAAGAGTCGAGCAGACGACAAGATGGAAGTTGGACTTCAGATTTCATAACATTGTCGTCTCATGTAGAACTGTCACAGTGAATTTAAGAACAGCGCTATGTGTTTTTGACGCATCTCGTTCTGCCTTTTTTCTGTCAACAGAAATAGATCCAGTATGTATACACAAGAGGAGACACAGTAAACATGTATTCTTCTTCTTCAGCATTCCGAGCCGTGATGTTCATTGCTGCTGAAACTGAAAGTGATATCCCCCGCCTTCACTCATCTCTCTGGTTTGCCTTTCCTTTCCATTTGGTAACACCAAGTGTTTGCAGGTCTCTCTGGACATTATCTTTTCATCGTCTTGATCTGTCTCGTGGTCTGCAACCATTCATTTATTATCTGTATTAATTATTGGTTTAATTTAAATGTATTAGTATTAGTACTTAGGGCTCTACTGGCAAATTTGGCCGGTAAGCTGGACTGCTTCGGCCGGCTTAGCGGGGCTTAGTGGGAGTTATGTCCCTTCGCGTCCCTTCGCCAAAATCAAAACAAGTCGCGGAAAAAGTCACGAATCAAATGACATACTTACCTATCATCATCCGGGTGCGTGTAGGGCTGCGTAGGGTTGCGTCTAGGGTTACCTATCATCATACGGTTGCGCGTAGGGCTGCGTAGGGTGTCTATCATCATCATACGGTTGCCTGTAGGGATGCGTAGGGTGTCTATCATCATCATACGGTTGCGTGTAGGGTTGCGTAGGGTTTGGGTTAGCTGTAGGGTTAGGGGTGTGGGTTAGGGGTAGGGTTAGGGTTAGGGTTAGGGTAGGGTTAGGGGGTATGGGTAGGGGTAGGGTTAGGGTTAGATGATGTGAAAATATTCACGTAGGAGGTGGAAATACTGGCCGACAATCTGATGCTTGTGGGAGTGGCGCCACTGGAAGTGTGCCAAATATGACGGCAATAGCGCGCGACTGGTGCCCAATCGGTGGCGAATTGTCCGTGTCAGTAGCATCCACCGTCCGTCGACTGTTTGCGCGTGCATGCGACTGTGCGCGATTGTAGAGAACTACGGCGTCACAATTGTCACATCTAACGCTACACCTAACCCTAAACCCTAACCCTAACCCCTAACCCCTAACCCTAAACCCTAAACCCTACACCCTAACCCCTAAACCCTAACCCTAAACCCTAAACCCTAACTCTAAACCCTAACCCTAAACCCTAAACCTAAACCCTAACCCTAACCCCTAAACGCTAACCCTAACCCCTAACCCTACCCCTCATCTATCTTACGCAAACAACCAACCCTACACCCAATAAGCAGCCCTACACGCAACCGTAGGACGATGATAGACACCCTACGCAACCCTACACGCACCCGGATGATGATAGGTAAGTATGCCGTTTGATTCGTGACTTTTTCCGCGACTTGTTTTGAGTTGTTTTGAGTTTGGCCAAGGGACATAACTCCCACTAAGCCCCACTAAGCCGGCCGAAGCAGTCCAGCTTACCGGCCAAATTTGCCAGTAGAGCCATAGTTTAACTTGATTTGGATTTTTCAGATCGATACTGGCTTTTTTTTTTTTAAATTACAACCTGTTGAAACAGGTTATCAAGTTTGAAACTGTTCGAAGTGACATAGCAGTTAATAAAATAAAAATTTCTTCTTGGATCCTTTTGTCAGAAAACTTACATCAGAAGGCCAGTAACCATTAGGAAAACTGTTGTGCAGTCCAAATCTCCTTGTTTTCTATACAGCTTTGTCTTCATTGAAGTTGGAACAGACAAGATTGGGTCTCTGTTGGCAGCATACAGTTGACAGTGTTGTACTGGAACCCATACTCAAAGTTTTCTGGTGCCAAGCTGCATGGACATGTCTAACACACAGAGACAAACTTGAACATGTCTGGTGAAATCTGTGGTGCCCTTAAAAATTTTATCCTCTAGCTCTTTCAGGCCCATGAATTTTGACAGACTTGGCCCACATTAATTTCCCTTTACAAAAATGGCAGAGGGGTGGGTGTACAAGAAAGGCTGTAGAGATTGTAAAACACTTCTAATCCCTATAAAAGTATTTATTTTTTTAAAGAGAAATGAATGTACATTCTGAATCTGATGATAAGTGTTTGTTTGATTGTGTTATAGTTAGTGGAAAAGAAGAATTCAGCAGGTGTTAATTTCACAAGGACAACATTTCACCAACAAATTCTTCACTTACCATGGTTTTGCAGCCACAATAGCAGTAAATATCCAAATTTTAGAACACAACTTCAAAGTTTGTTCAATTTCATAACATATTCTAAAGTTATGATAACTTTCTGGGTTAGTTTATCACTCAGGAACTCTTAGTTCTCACCGAGTGCTAAGCAAAATTTCAGATAAAAAATGGCAGAAAAATGAGCCATTACACACACACTATTTACTATTCACTTTGTACAGTTATTTACAGACTAGCTGCGATGATTGTTTGATCTTTGTTTAGAGCACTTTCCTTTTCTTACACCATAAATACGGTAGTATGGGACATTGTCTGTGTAATAAACTCATCAGAATCGCTAGATTCAGAACAGCTGATCGCTCAGCTTCACTGGTGAAAATTCACCGTCCGAATCACTTTTCGAAAAATCAAAATTGTTATTATCATTATCACAATTAAAAACATCTGACTGATACAATTTCAGAACTTCGGCCGCAGAAAGACCCATTCTGTGACCAGTTCTTGTGGTTGAAACATTGGTATTCATGGCACTCAAAAATGAACTTAGAAAATGAACTGTTAAAAAAATGTCGATGTTTTTTTCTCTCAAATTATCCACGTGGGGTTTAGTCCAAGAAATGAAACTAAAAGGATTTCGGCAGAGTGACTTTCCCTGAATAGTTTATACCTACCTCCAAACATTAGAAACTAGTAAGAACGCGCGTGTGAAGCAAAATGTATGTGACACACGATTGATGATGACACTGTTGTTTGGGCAGAACGGAACTTCTCAAACTACGCTCACATCGTTGTTTGGGCCTTAAAGAGCTAGACTCGCTTCATCCCCTATCAAGAGAGGGACAGTGTGTTGTATTCAGACTAAGCACGACACAGAATATAAATAATATTTAATTAAATTGTGACTATTTCAGTGAATTCATAATAGTAGTTGTAGTAGGGACAGTTTGCAGCTTCCGCAAATTTCCTATACATATAAAATGAATAGGAGAGCTGTCGCGTGCAGATGTGCACTAGAACGCACTGGTACTGAGTCAGCAAATAAGACATCAAAACAATACGTTATATCGCTAAGGTATTGTGGTTGTCAGACATTCATTGTTTACAGACTGAAGGAGACAGACGTGTGGATCCTTGAGGACGTTCTACCCCGGGATGCCACTGAAGCAGTCGTTGTATAAAGTTGGATCCTTGAGGACACTCTACCCCGGGACTCCACTATAAACCTCAACAGAAAGCTGGTATATTGTCTACTACGTTCGGCAGTAAGCCGGTATACTTATACTACCTTGTTCAGACTGCAGAAGATAAGATCGAGATGACTGTCCGGATTTCCAAGGTCGGACTGCGACCCGTCATTTGTTATGAAGTCAGTTGATGAACGAGCGGTTGCTTGTGTTGGTGTGTTTGGATGAGTCTGTTAGTCTGGAGTTTATTTAATTACACATTTTCTCATCTGTTGATCGAGTGTATATATCAATACACCAGTTGGAACTTAACTCATAGCGTGGTCGTTCAACAGCGTTTGGAAGCATTGGAGTTCCTACTGTTCCACCATTGAAAGCATTGGAGTTCCTACTGTTCTACCCCACTTGGCCTATTTCATCGTTTGTACGCCGCACATCACCATGGAGCCGCCACACGTCACAAGAGGGAAGAGCGCACATCACAATGTAGCCGCCACACGTCACAAGAGGGAAGAGCGCACATCACAATGTAGCCACCACACGTCACAAGAGGGAAGAGCGCACATCCTTGCCTCGTCCTGTATTGACTGTAAACATATATAACTGCTTACAGGATGTGGGGTTTTAGAAGCATATGTGTTGGAATGAAAGAGTTAACACCTGGTAATGCAGAGTGCAAACTGTCACTATTCGGATGAGAATTCCCCCAGGTACATATCAGAGAAACCCCATTCAACCATAAGGTTATATTGGGGCCCCAGAAGGTGAGAAAATAACCTGGTCAGTACAGGGTGGGGCTTTGCGTTGTTTTTTTAAAATGTTAGTTGACTGTTAAATTTGTCTGATTACATTTGTTGCCATGTGCACTTTGTGTTGTTTGTTCTGGCACCTTTTTTAGACACTTTGGTTTATAGAATAAAACCTGGTCATCCCCATGCATCTATCACTTAATTACTTAGTTGCTCCTCTTCTGCGTTGGGGTTTAGAGGTTTGCCAGTGAGATCTCCAAAAGCTACAGCTGTCATTGAGTGTATATTTATACAGCATGACTTTTTCTTTACAGGTCAGAACGGTTGGTATTGACAGTAATTTATGATGTCTAACAAATTACCTGAGGACACTGACAAGGAGACGCTCACTCACGGAATGAGCACATATGAAACATTCGGGGCCTCATTAGATGATGAGGACGACAGCTCTGATACATCTTTGGAACTGGCCAACACTGGCAGTAGCCAACCCAGAAGCAGATCAAAAGCATGCTTTCTGTCGCTGTTCAGGCTGTTACGCTCCAGGTAATGTGTAACAATGTGTAACAGTCTTGCTATAAGTAAGGGCTGAACATTAACACTTCCAGTCCCAAGCTATTATTCTTCTTCTTCTTCAGGGTCACGGGTGTAAACCCTGGCAGAAAACCTCTGGACTTTAGGCTTGTTCCAAATGCACATCTGTTTTACAGATCTGACTTATTTGTGTGCAGACTGTTCGTTCCTTGCCTCTCTGGGGCCAAGCTGCAGGGACACATCTCTATGTTTCCTACACTGAAAAGTGTGAAAATATGTTGGTGAAGTCTATTGTACCTATCCTTAGTCTGACTATAACATATTGTCCTTCACTAGAGAGGTGATGAGGTGTGTCTTGAGAAAATTTAGTGTGTGTATCTAGCGATTTTTTTTTTTTTGGGGGGGGGACACTAGATAGTATTAATGTATGTCTCTTGGTGGGTTAAGTCACTGTTTGATTGCACCATATCACTGCCACTTCATTGCCTTCCAAGCCACAGTGAACTGGAATCCACTGCAGTATAGATTATTCTACTGAAGAGCCTAAGTGAATCAGCTGTTGCGTCAAGTCTACAAACTGCATGTCTTCTGGTTTAACAATTGCTTGTAGAACTCACATAGCATTAGTCAGAAAGATCACTCTGCTTTATTTACCACCAGAAGTGCATCTGCCTCTGCAGTACAATTAGAGGAATATTAACCTGTTGGTATAGCTTGATCAGTTTATCTTTTTTTTTTTGTTGAATTTTTTTTTTTACATTAGTGAATACCAGTACCTTTTTCCCCAGAAAACCCCCTGTTTATTACTACATAATAATGGCATATTCATTCATAGAATGGTAAAGACTCTTCTATTGCTTTAAATCAGGTTAGGCTCACAAAAAGAAAAAGAAGTATGGCTGTTTCTAGTTTATATGAATTAATATGTGACAATGAGATATACTGGGTTTGTACGAGACTGAGAAAGCAAGAGATAAACAGAGACAAAGAACATCTTGATTAACGGCCCTGTGTTGTAATATATGTGTGTTGGAAAAAAGTTGCTTACATTTAATGCAAGTTATCTCATTTAACTCATCCTAATTCAACTTAACAGGGAATTCTACAGAGCTTTGTTGTATGGCCAGAGTCTGTCCATCCTGAACTGCGGAACTGCTGTTTTCTCTGGACTATTGCAGATTCAAGGGGTTAATGCTTCAACAGGTAAGTGCAAACACTGCTAGCCTGGCTTTCAGAGCTTTGTGCTGATCTCTGACTATAGGGGGTGGAAAATAATGATGTATCTAAAGAAAAATTTTAAGCTGAGTACAAGAGAGAGAATGAGGGACAGGCTTATGCTTAACACAGATTACAGAACTGAGTAACAGAGAGAGAATGAAGGACAGACATGCTAGAGACCGATTTCAGAACTGAGTAAAAGAGAGACAATGAGGGACAGATTTATGCTAGAGAGATTTCAGAACTGAGTAAAAGAGAGACAATGAGGGACAGACTTATGCTAGAGACAGATTTCAGAACTGAGTAAAAGAGAGACAATGAGGGACAGAGTTATGCTAGAGATATATTTCATATGAAATATGTCACACCATAAGACTATATGAACACTCAACAACAGCAGCACACTTGCACCCCTTGAAATAGTGGACTGTCAAGTCAGCTGTGGAATTCCCACGGATTTCCCATTTTTGGGGTACATTATAAATATTGTACCCAGTTTTCTACTTGTCATGACATGACCAAAGAACCTAGATTGTCTTTTTCTTATGTGGGCTATCAGTTCTTTTCAGGAGTCAGTTTCTTTCAAGACATCTTGATTACTTTGTAGTTGTTGTTGGGACACAGCTATTTTAAATGTTGATTTGGCTACATACTAATGCTAAAATTTGATTGTAAGGACAAATTTATCCTAGACATATATTATAAGGACAAGTTGTTTCAATAAAACTCACTGTTTCTTGCAGCTCAGAGTTTTGGCATGTACTGTGTCTTGTGTTTGGTGTTTACCACCCAGCTGGCTTACAAAAAAGGCAGCAGAAACCTCTTCTGTTTGTTGTGCTCTCTTGATGGCCTGAAGTATGCTCTGATCGGCATCATTGATGTGGAAGCCAACTACCTGGTGGTCAAGGCATACCAGTACACCACAGTGACCAGTGTCCAGGTGTGTACTGTAGACTATTTCTCATTCTGCTTCCCAGCAGCAACATTAACTCTTCACTTCCACATGTGAGGTTACAGCGCCTCATTATTGGGGGAGAGGGCTGGGTGGTAGACCCACTGCCTCCCTAACAAACATGTTGTAAGAATCGACAGGGGTTTCCTTTGAAGTTGGAGTGCATCTGCTTGAGAAGCAAGGAACCAGAAGTCTGCATACAAATAAACCAGATTTGTAAAATGGATTTGTATTTAACACTCAAGTTCTGGAAGAAGACTAGAGTCCAGAAGTGGACGAACAACCAGAACTTTCTGCTGGAGTTTACAGTGGGTAAGCATGAAGATGAAAAAGAATTATCTCCTCATCCCAAAGGCTGAACACCATTACAGGCTAGACTTTGAAATACAGTTCAATATTTGTGACAAGAGTTAGGAGTTAGGTTATCTTTGCAGCACTCTGGACACATCCATAGGCGCTCAGATTCCCCTCTCAACATATTCATCAGCGTTGTGCGGTTAATAGTACCAGTCCTATGTTGGTTAACAAGACTTTGTGTGCGTCCGGTGTGCTTTTTATGCTTGGCTGTGCCGATCTTTACTCTCAATTCACTTATTCTTAGCAGTGATGTGGACACGTTGCTTCTAAAATCCTCAGAACATCCTATCTCTCTAAGGGCAGTGACAATGTCTGCGTGATCCATGGGCCGGCCATCTTCAATTAATGCTGCACCTGCCAGTCTATCAGCTCTCTCATTACCAACAATGCCTGCATGCCCTGGGACGAATATGAAAGTATCTGCACACACAGGAGAATTTTGCAACGACTCAAGCCTGCGTAACCAGCCCACCTCGAACCGCCGAATCATGCTCAAAGAATCACTCAGCACACACACGCGGGAATAGTCCTGTGGTCCCAGCCACATGAAAGATTGTATCACCCCCATCACCTCCATCGTCAGGCTGCTGGTGGTGATGGAGAAGGCACCGCTGGCTTCTTGAACTGGTCTGCCTGAAGAGTGAGCTTTAAATGCCCATGCTCTCTTATGTCCTCGTATAACGGACCCATCTGTGAAGATCACCACATCTCACTTGTCACTGATAAGGGCGCATACCTCGGCATTGACAGCAGCTGGATTCTGCTCCCGACAACTCCTATCGAGCGTCACGGCACAGGAGAACGTGAGATTTGGCGCTTTAGACACTGCTATCCATTCCTCACCTGGATGGATGTCTGTAAGGCTGCAAACCCGCATGATGTCATCCTCTGCCCTACCTAGCCATGATTTGCCCCTTTTGAGCCTATTGCCCTTTTTCTTGAAGAGCATGTGACAAGAGAAATGGAGAATGTGTTTTTCAGACTTTAAATCTGTTAAGTCACCAATAGTTTTTGTATTATCTTCAATAGATTGCGACACAAAGTTTAGTCACTCTTTCTCTGTCGTATCTGCTTCTTTCCATCTTGAATTCTGACTGTTCTCTCTCTTTCTGTATGTCTCTCTCTCTCTTTCTATAAATCTTTCTCTGTTTCTTTCTATCCCTGCCGTCTCTTTGTCTCTCTCTGTCTCTTACACACATCCATCCACCCAACCTTACCTCCTATTTCCTCCCAAAAGAAGCAACATGAAATCACCAGACCATAAGACAACCAATCAGATTGATTGAATTAACAAAAAGTTTAGGTTATCCCTTTATGATGTTAGGTCTTTAAGAGATGCCAATGTATTTTCTTACCATTTTCTGTTGGTAAGTAAAATCAAGTGGAAACTTAAAAGATATATAAAATAATCATAGAAACCAGTACTAATTAGGGTATCTCAGGGATAAAGAGTTAAGGAACAGTTTTCATTTACAGTCTCTAATAAGTACCAGGTGTTTCAGCAGTTATTTATGAATTGTGAGATACCATCTAAAGAGTAACTTAAAAAAGCTATAAATCTCCTGAAGGAAGGAAAAGCGGCAGGTCCACATGGTATCCCAGCAGAAGCTATTAAGCCAACATAAACACATCAACGGAATTGTTACATAGATTAATTAGTAAAGTCTGGGAAACCGATGAAATACTACCAGACTGGAGACAATGTTATCTTGTGAAACTCCCAAAAAATTGTTCTACGGGAGTGTAAGAACTATAGAGGAATTATGTTGCTGTCAGTTCCTGCAAAAATATTAAGTAGGATTATTTAAGAAAGAAAAGAATTGGCTATTGATAAAACGCTAAGAGATGAACAGTCGGGTTTTAGGCCAAACAGATCTTGTACTGACCAGATAGCCACATTACTTATAATAATCGAGCAAAGCATTGAATTGAATTCACCACTTCACACTGGATTCATAGACTATGAAAAATCTTTTGACAGCATTTTTAGGGAATCTCTCTGGAAATTGATGGGGCACTATGGAATCTAACAGAAAATTATTAACTTATTAAGGGCAACATACAAAGACATGAAATGCCGACTTCTTCATAAAGGAAAGCTAACATACATTTCAAATAAAAACATGTGTGCGACAGGGATGTCTTTTGTCACCTCTTCTATTTTTACTGGCAATAGATTGGATTATGAAGACAGCAACTGCTAACACCAAGAATGGAATTCAGTGGACCCCTGCAAAACAGATTGATGATCTGGACTTCGCTGATGGTATTTCTCTTCTGTCACACTCGTAGAATCAGATGCAAGATAAATATACTTGATGCGAGATCACAACAGCTAGGTCTGAAAATCCATAAGGGAAGGACACAGATAATGAGAATATATAAGGAAAATAGTAATGTGGTTTCTTTTCATGGTATCCCACTCCTTGGGGTATTACATCTATTTGGGCAGTAATGTAGATAAAGATGGGAGAACTGAAAAAGATATTGAAATGCGAATACAAAAGGCAAGAGGAGCTTTAATAGCACTAGGAGATTTGTGGAGGGCAAAAGAAATTAAAACTTTTACTGAACTACAAATATTTAACTCTAATGTTAAGTCAGTACTGTTATATCAAGCTGAAAAATAAGGCAATTAATCATAAACTACAAATATTTATTAACTGGTGCCTGCGCAAAATAGAGGGAATTAAATGGTGCGATAGAATCACTAATTGAGAGCTTTTAGAGAGAACTAAGAAAGTTCCAGTGGACCAAGAGGTGAAGAAGAGACGGCGTTGGAAAAGACACACTGAGACACATATATTTCTATTATTTTTTTTGCTGTTTAGTACTTACGCACTTTAAAAGCAAAATATAACTTCAGTTTGATGTTTTTCTACATCTAAAGCATCCTTTTTCTGACCTAAGTTTTACCATGCCTGTGTTTGTGTTGTAGATCCTGGACTGTTTCAGCATTGCTGCAGTACTGATCCTGTCTCGTATCTTCCTGCACACTCGCTACAGGCTGACTCACTACGTGGGGGTCATCATCTCTGTTCTGGGTCTTGGTGGACTGGTCTGGGCTGATGTCATCACTGGCAACACTGAGGGGGATAGCGGTGGTAAGATACTGTTTGTTATGCTTTCTTCATTGTCTTCTAGCATATGGATAAACAAACTTGAAAAAGCATATAGAGAATCAAGTTTTTGAACATATACTAGTGTGGGTGTTAGAAGAAATAAGAGATAATTATGTGCAGCTGATGTGTCACAAAGACCCTTACCATTAATTTCACATTACTTCGCCATTGCCTGGATTCTCTGACTTACTTCTCAGCTGCTTCTGATCAAACTTGTTGTCCCTTACCATTGATTGTAAGGTAGAGACGGGCATGCTCCATGCAAAGTGGCAAGCATCACTTCAGAGGTCCTGGGTAGTTAACATCCTTTGGATATTTTCTCTGGGTCATGCCGGTGTGTTGGGAAATGAGCAGGCAGATATACTGCTAGCTCTGAACCACTTGGTGGTGAATTGACGTATGACAAGCTAGATATTGTAAGGGCCTTTTAGGAGTAAGTGAACAGTGAGAAGGCACAGATAGATCGTTGCGGTCTGAGGAGAATGGCGCTGTGAGGAGTTACTAAGGGATCTTGCCAATGCTCAACACTCATCGGAGAGGTAAGATGTATATACAATCAGATAGCTACCGTTGCCATCGGTATTACAACTCTTTGCTTGCTTCTGAAGATGGTGGCGGAGCAGTTGTGGGAGTGTCCTGAGTGCTGTGATGTCGATTCTCAATTAAAAATTCAACATTGGGTCAGTGGGTCTATTAAAAAAAAATCAAATTGTTCTCTGGTATACACATGGGGAGAAACTACTATCTATCAGGTATGTTGCAGTGAGGTGGGGTCCATTATATGAAGGTCTGCTTACAGAGAAGTATAGCTCATTGGTGAGCCAATCCCAAACTCATGTTGCTCTTCAGTGATGAGCTGTATACTGATGTATCCATCGTTTGGCAACTTCTTTTACCTGAAATGTTTCAGGTTCTAATGTAGCTCTGGGTGATGTGCTGGTGATAGCTGGAGCAATGTTGTATGGGGTCAGTAATGTAGCCCAGGAGTTTGTAGTGAAGTCCTACAGCAGATCTGAATTTCTGGGTATGCTGGGCGTGTTCAGTACTCTTGTCTCGGGGATACAGGTGTAAGTTTTCATGTCCTTGTAGTGTTTTGCTTTGATGTTGATTTTTATTTTATCAATACTTTTGTTCCTTTCTTTAATTTTATTATTGCTGTTTTTTTTTAAATTAATTTTTATGTTTCTTTTCTTTTTGTCTTATATAGTTTTTGAAAGAAATATTTCTTTCCTCCTTCAGATATTTTTGTTTCTCTCTTTGCTTCTTTTTAAAAGATTTTAAAGATCCCTTTACACGCCCTTAAGCGCATCAGGCATATGGGAAGAGCACCCATATTTTTACAGACCAATCGGCACTCGGTGGGTAATGTGGTCAGCATTACGCCGGCCGTCTTTACTTTCCCAGGACAGCCCATCCTGGTTCTCTTTGCTTCTAACGTGTATTAATTATTTCTCACTACAAATAGTGCTGTATTTTGTTTTCCTCAATTCATATCTGATATTTTAATTATTTTTTCAAAAATAACTTTGATTCTTTTTTTTTAATTTAAATCTTTGTATCTCTCCTGTCCTAACTGTTTTCCATTCTTGTTTGTGTGTGTGTATATGTGTAGGAGGAGGGGGGGGGGGGGGGGGGGGGGGGGGGGGGGGAGTAATGTATCTTTGTTACTTTCATATTTGTTTATTTCATATCTGTGCTTTTTTTTTCACACATACATCTTTTATCTCATTCTTTCTTCTTTCCTTTTATTTTTGTTTGACCTTTCTGCTATCTCTTCACTCCTTGTCATCTTGTGTCCCTTGTCTTTCCTTTCAGCTTCTTCTCTTGAAGCAGCAAAGTGGTGTCAGTGCTCACATACTTGCCTCTCAGTGTTGAGAAGATTAATATATTGTGTGTTTGTGTAGACTTTATTGTGTAATTACATATATGTGTGTGAGTGTGGTTTTTTGTATGAATAAATGTGTGTGTGTGCCTATGGTTTGTTGTGTGATTAAATATATGTGTGCTTATATTTTGCTAATTTATTAAATTTAGATGCATGCAAATGGTTTGTCAAGGGATTAAATATTTGTGTGTGCATACGGTGGATGTTTGTTTTTGTCCAGGTATATGTTTGAGATCTTTTGCATGTGTTTGTGTTTATGAATGGGTGTGTTTTGACTTTGTGTGAATGTGTGGAATTTGAAGACGGAAAGAAGCTTTGTGATTGGGTTTGTCTTTGTGCTGTTGTGTGAGAGTGTTTTGGTGTGATGTGATTGTGTTTGTCAATGCAGTGTTGTGTGAGAGTGTTTTTTGTTTCTGGTTGTTTCTTTGTGTATGCCTGTATATGACAGCGAGAGAAAGAGTCTGAAACCTGCCCTTTACTTGTTAGTCAGGGACTCTCACCATTAACTGTTGCTTTAACTTTCTCTGGATGTCGATGTCAGTCTGTTTTATGTATGTCTGCATTCTATATCATTTTTTTCACTTACTTTTTTATTGTTCTTGTCATTTTCTGTTAACTAATTTTGCATTATTAAATTTATTGTTTTCTTTTTATGTAGTGTGTATTTATTTTCTTTTTGCGTGCAGCATGGTAATTTCATTGTTTCATTTTCTTTCCATGTTTAATGAAATTATTCTTATTTTTGTCCTTATGTAGAATATTTTTAGAGGCACAGGATCTGTCAAAGGTGGAATTCTCATCTTATAAAGTCAGTAAGTTACATTCACAGTTCTTTTAAAAAAATAATATTATTTGTGTACTTGTCTCTATACACATTGTATGCACACACACACCCCCCCCCCCACCCCCCCCCCCCCCCCCCCCCCCACCCCCCCCCCCCCCCCCCCCCCCCCCCCCCCCCCCCCCCAACCAAACATAAAAACAGTATATGTATAAAACTGTAGGTAGAGACAGTGTCATCTGTTGACATTCACATGAGTATTATGAATCATGTTGTTGTATCCGTATGTGGGTCTGGAGCCTTATGTGGGGTGGAAAGGGATAGGGGGGAGGATGCGCCCACTGCTTCCTTAACTCTTTCAGGACAACATTTTTTCTGGGGTTTGGACTGCATTAATTTTGAGCTGAACTTTTTTAGTGCAACACGACAAAGCTAAATTCTTCTTGAAGAAAATGTATTGACTGTATCTGGACTTATATCAAATTGAAGATAAATGAGTTCAGAATAAATATAAACTACTTAAATGTCAGTATAACAACAAAATATTATTAAAATCACACAACATTCAAGGATGTTAGACACATATTAAAAATTTTGACAAAAAAATAATGTGCTTACCTTTTTTTTTTAACTGGTTCAACAACACTATGATCCAATTCTAAGAATACACATGCCTTCTCTGTTCAGTTATGTGTTAGCTAGTCTTTATTTGAAACAATTAATTTAAATACTTTGGAAATTATAATCATTATTGAGTGACATGTCTATTTTCACAACAACCGAAAATCTGAAAAACAGCTGATCGAAACATTGATCTGATTGAAATATGTTGTGAAATTTTCATATCCTAAATTAAATTATCACTAGTAGACTTGTCCCTTAGATATCAATCATAATATCAAGACTGTTGTCAATATCTGGCAGGGATTCATCAGCGATAGAGCAGTATGAACAGTTCTTGACCTTTGCCCTTATCATTTAGTATAGAAAAATCACGTAAAAATTGTATCCTATCTAAATAAAAAAAATGTTTAATCACAAAATAAAGCACCGACCACGATGAACATCGCAAATGGAAGTACATCCTGTTGTTAATCCTAATTATTAAAAAACTTGTTCATAAAAGTTCATTTTCCCTACAAGCGGAACAAAATTCAAGTGTCTCTATCATGATCTAGTAAACTGGCTTAACGTCTTTAAGGGATAGACTTAATCACCAGTATACTGGCTAAATGTCCGTAAACAGTTAACAAGCATGTCATAAAAAGTCACTAATTAGAGGTTTGCTGAGATAGAATGTGTTGAGCCTAAAGACAGCCAGTCTGGCTTTAAACCACAACACAACATGCCAACTGTCTTTTTTTAGGGCAATCGAAGAAGATCAAGAAACTTATAGTAAAATAATGAACTCAGGAACATACTACTATTGTTGGTGTTCATGAGAGGTCCTGGGTAGCTAGTGTACTTTGCATATTTTCTCCAGGCCATGCTGGTATGTTAGGAAATGATGTACGACAAGCTAGATGTTGTGAGGGCCCTTTGGGAGTGAGTGAACTGTGAGAAGGCACAAATAGATCAGTACCATTTGAGGGGAATGGCACTGGGGGAAGTTGGCAGGGGAAGTGGTTGACACTTAGCACTCAAAGGAAAGATGGATATACAGTCGGACAGTTACTGGTACCATCGGAATTGGAACTCTTTGCTTGCTGCTGAAGGTGGGGACGGAGCGCTCATGGGAGTGTTTGGAGTGCTGTGATGTTGATTCTTAATTCAACATTCAGTGTTCTGAAGTCATCTGTTTACCCATATTTAAAAATGATTTAGATAATTTTGAAAGTGTTTGTATTGATATTGTTTCAGTACTACCCTGGCTTGCCTTTGTGATCTTCTTGTTTGTGATGTACGCCTGCATGAGTCATGTGATCCAAAAGACCAGCGCCACCGTCACAAACATATCCATTCTGTCTTCAGACTTTTACAGCCTTATCTTGGGCATTTTTATATTCCATTATGAAGTAAGTTGTGTGGACTCATGTTCTTTTTGTTTACACCTTCTGTTATAGCTAAGTATGCTGTATGATATATTGCCATGTTTGCGGTGACATGTTCTCAAAAAGTGCATTTAAATTCCATTAGTTCTATGTGCACTGTTTACGAGGCCAGATATAAAGTAAAGTAAAGGTACGTTTTCCACGACTTTAGGCTATTGGGAATATAGGGTTAGACCTATATTTGTATAGACCAGTCGGCACATGGTGGGTGATGTGGTCAGTATCAGCATTTAGCAAACTAAAATTAGTATTTAGGGAGTTTCCTTGTGACTCCAGTGTCTTTTTTAAAGCCAAATTGATGACACATTTTCCTGTGCGTCTCAGTGTTAGAGGTAACAGCATGAGTCACCCGATATATATTGATTTATTTTGTTAGGACCCAGGGAATTTATTACATTTAATGCTTAACTCCGTTCATGTTTCTTGATAACCTTTTTAAACAAATTAAAAAAATAAATAAATAAATCTTGAGCAAAATGGTTATTGTCATGTGTAAAATGGTTGTTCTTTTAGGGTTTGTCTCGAGGAATTTCCACTGGTTCATGATCCATTTTAGTAAGCACCCGTGGGGCAAAGAGGTCGATGTCCTGTGTCCACAGTCATGTTAGTCAGCCCCTGCCTTTTCTTCCAAGAATCACACCTTTGTGCAGTGTTCTCTCTGAAGCCACTGACCTAGAAATAAAATGAAAACAGATCTTTGTGTATTGAATTAGAAGACACAAATTTTTCTTTTGTTCTTTAGAGTGAAAGGTAGTGAAGAATCCTTTTCAAATCTACAATTAAATCCATAAGCAAAAAAAAAAAAAAAAAACGAGATTTTGTGCCTCTTTTCTGAACAGGGAAAGATTGGCATACTCTGCACAACTTGGTTGAATATTGATGCATGATAAGGCTGACGTGGTTAAGGTCTTGTGGAAGCACCTGTACAATTTTAAACAGTAAATTGATCAGCACAGTCTGGTGAGATTGATGCAGCAAGGAATGACAAGGGAAATCTGGCTGATACTCGACACTCAGAGGAGAGACAAGACGGACATATAATAAGACTGCTACTGGCACCATTGGTATTGGAACTGTGCCCTGGATGCTGAAGATGGGCACAGAGCACTTATGGGAATGCTATGAGTGCTGTGATTTCAGTTCTTGAATTAGCTCAACTCAAAACTCATATTTTTATTTGTTGGGAATATACTACTAGCCTGTATTATTTATAGACTGGCTCGCACTCACTAGGTGATGTTGATCAACATCATGCCAGCCACCTTTACCTCCCAGCACATTACCTGGTAACCATGTAGACTTGGTTTACCTGGGAACCAAGTTCATTATTTTGTAAATCCATCTGGACCAATATGCATGTTTTCCTATATGTATGTACTAAATTATGTTTCTTTCCATCAAACAGTTCCATGTGCTGTACCTGGTTGCCTTTGCTGTGGTTATCATCGGTGTGGCCATCTACAGCTTTTATCCAACCAGCTCGACAACAGTCAACAGTACAGGTGAATCTGACACCAGCTAGTCGTGGCAGTGTCATAAGTGTCCATTTTACAACTCTTGACTTTTAGTGTAGATGCTACAATTTACACTTACACAAGCCCAGTAAACTTTGTGTCGTGATTAGTAATGTGTAGATCATTACCTCACATAGTACAACCAGTCCTACCAGATGTCAACATACATTCGTACCAGAAACAGTTTGCAGAATTACTAGAATGGACCATGATCTACATATTTTACTTAGTCTTGATTTTACTGAATGTAAAATTGTCTGGTAAAACCACAAATGGTGGGGTAATTTTGTAACATCCTGTAAAGCAGTGGTTCTCAACCTATGGATCACGACCCTTTTTTGGGTTGAAGGACCCTTTCACCGGGGTTGCCAAAGACCATCAGAAAACACATATTCGTTGAGGTTATGAAGTAGTAACGAAAATAATTGTATGTTTGTGGGTCGCCACACCACGAGAAACTGTATAAAAGGGTCGCCACAGCAGGACGAACTGTAAGAAAGGGTCGCCACACCACGAGGAACTGTAAGAAAGGGTCGCCACAGCATGACTAACTGTAAGAAAGGGTTGCCACACCACGAGAAACTGTAAGAAAGGGTTGCCACAGCATGACGAACTGTAAGAAAGGGTCGCCACACCACGAGGAACTGTATAAAAGGGTCGCCACAGCATGACGAACTGTAAGAAAGGGTCGCCACACCACGAGGAACTGTAAGAAAGGGTCGCCACAGCATGACTAACTGTATTAAAGGGTCGCCACAACATGACGAACTGTAAAAAAGGGTCGCCACAACATGACGAACTGTATTAAAGGGTGGCCACAATATGACGAACTGTAAGAAAGGGTCGCAGCATTAGGAAGGTTGAGAACCACTGCTGTAAAGGATATGCAATAAACTCTTGATTTCTAGAACCTTGGTTAGTAGAGAAATTCTTACAGAAATTCGTCAAATTTAAGTTATTTTTAGCCACAAAGTGGCATATAGGATGTAAAGAAGAGCTATTACTTCCATCCATACATCAACCAGGAGCAAGGAGATTTGTGCTCATGTTATATTTCTTTTTTTTTTTTATTTTGTTTGTTGTGTAATGGTATATAGTTTTACAGACATGTAATAAGATTTGCTGGCCTCCAAAATGATATTGTAGGACCCGGTAGAGGGGTGAAGGCAGACCAAGAAAGTCTAGATGGTGTGTGGAAAAAAAAAGATATGAGTCTAGTGTTATATAAAAAAAAAAGATATGAGTCTAAAGTTACATGCCCTGTGTGCCATTGGTGTAAACAAGATTCCTCTGAAAAGGCCATTCTGTTTTAGTGGGCACATAACAAGAAGCAGTAGATTAAAGGACCAATATCAGACTTAGGCATTGACACAAGAATACAAAAGAAGACTAACCACCTGTGAGATGAGATGTTTGAGAATGGCTGTGAATAAAACCAGAAGAGATTGAATGAGAAACTACATGATCACATGAACTGTTGGAACAACACCCATCATCAAATTTATTGAGAAACAAACAATGGTTTGGCCATCTAATGAGAATGAAACCAACGATGCCAGCAGCAAGAGCGTACAACCTGAAAATCGAAACATCAAGAGGTAGGGAAAGACTCAGAAGAAGATGCATTGAAGGAGTCACTGAACTTTGAAACTGCATAACATAACGGCATATCAAGCCCTGGCTTGGCAGCCGATCGTCGGATAAACTGGGACTACTAGGGGTATAAGCAGATATTGACAAAGGAAGACAGATAAAGGAAGCTAGGCTTTGTGGGAATACACTAGTTAAGTTAGACACGAGAATATCAACTTCCGTGCGGCAGATTTGATTCTATATGACTCAGTCTCTCTCCGAAAAGAATTGCTAGCTGCATGTTGAGAGTGTTGAACACAGCACACACTCCATAGCTCCGGTGACAATCCCTAGGATTTTCCTAAACTTTGGATTCGTGAACAGATTAACGCAGCCATGAAACGGATCCACGATTTTCTTGACCACTTCGCAACAGGATGCCTAATGCGGGTTTACACCAAGCAACAAAACAACAATAGAGAAACCATAATGATATCTGTGTCACACGCTGAAACAGCTGAACAAGTAATTGTGTAAGCAACATTCTTCTACTTAATGTTCTCTTTTACCACTTCACGTGTCAAGGAAGATATAAGGTCCTGCTTCCTGCTCTTCTGGCTGCTTCAACCATAGACACATTGTGGTGCTATAGAGTTTCTCTGATGTTATCTTCCCATCTTGTTCTTGCTCTGCCTCTTGCTCTACCTACTTCTCCTCTTTTGGTATATGCCTTGTTTGGTATAGCATCGGAAGGCATTCTCTCCAAGTGGGCAAAACATTTGATTTGCTGTCTTTGTCTGTAATTTAGAACTGGTTCTGTGCCTAATTATGTGACCTCATTTCTGATTTTGTCTCTTCTGGTCACTCCTACATTCTTTCTCAGACACAAAAAGGATACTGTATCAACAGACTGGTAAAAATGGATACAGTATCAACAGACTGGCTAGAATGGATACTGTTTCAACAGACTGGTTAAAAAGGATACTGTATCAACAGACTGGTTAAAAAGGATAACAGACTGGTTTAAAGGGATACTGTATCAACAGACTGGTAAAAATGGATACAATATCAACAGACTGGTTAGAATGGATACTGTATCAACAGACTGGTTAGAATGGATGCATACTGTATTAACAACTGGTTAGAGTGGTTGTATACTGTATTTAGAACTGGTTAGAATGGATGCACACTGTATTAACAACTGGTTAAAATGGATGCATACTGTATTAACAGAATGGTTAAAATGGATTCATACTGTATTAACAGAATGGTTAAAATGAATGCATACTGTATCAGCATACTGGTCTCAGTTAGGGTAGAAAAAAAAAGGAAGTGTAGATGAAAATTATTATGGTAATTGCTGGTTTATATCTCATATATTTCCAAAGTTAAATAGTATATCAAAATGTATAAAACATTATCATGGAGTGCCACGCTGCATACTGCATTTATTCTGAATCATTTAATTACCAGATGAGATTATCGGTTATGTTTCTTTCGCTGTCTCAGAGATGATCATTTATGTTTCTTTCACTGTCTCAGAGATGATCATTTATGTTTCTTTCACTGTCTCAGAGATGATCATTTATGTTTCTTTCACTGTCTCAGAGATGATCATTTATGTTTCTTTCACTGTCTCAGAGATGATCATTTATGTTTCTTTCACTGTCTCAGAGATGATCATTTATGTTTCTTTCGCTGTCTCAGAGATGATCATTTATGTTTCTTTCACTGTCTCAGAGATGATCATTTATGTTTCTTTCACTGTCTCAGAGATGATCATTTATGTTTCTTTCACTGTCTCAGAGATGATCATTTATGTTTCTTTCACTGTCTCAGAGATGATCATTTATGTTTCTTTCACTGTCAGAGATGATCATTTATGTTTCTTTCACTGTCTCAGAGATGATCATTTATGTTTCTTTCACTGTCTCAGAGATGATCATTTATGTTTCTTTCACTGTCTCAGAGATGATCATTTATGTTTCTTTCACTGTCTCAGAGATGATCATTTATGTTTTCTTTCACTGTCTCAGAGATGATCATTTTATGTTTTCTTTCACTGTCAGAGATGATCATTTATGTTTCTTTCACTGTCTCAGAGATGATCATTTATGTTTCTTTCACTGTCTCAGAGATGATCATTTATGTTTCTTTCACTGTCTCAGAGATGATCATTTATGTTTCTTTCACTGTCTCAGAGATGATCATTTATGTTTCTTTCACTGTCAGAGATGATCATTTATGTTTCTTTCACTGTGTCAGAGATTATCATTTATGTTTCTTTCACTGTCTCAGAGATTATCATTTATGTTTCTTTCACTGTGTCAGAGATTATCATTTATGTTTCTTTCACTGTCTCAGAGATTATCAATTATGTTTCTTTTGTATTTACATTCAATGTCTCAGAATTCAGTAAATATGCTTGTATATTCAGGATGGTGAATAACAAATGCAATCAGAGATATAAGATGTATTATCAGAGTAATAATTTATTATAATAATGACTGTTTTATTATTGTAGTAACTATTTATGTATATAAGAGCCACAGTGGTGTAGAGGCTAGATGTTCACCTCCAGCCCAAAGGTCTTGGATTCAAATCCAAACTGAGCTGAATTTTTTTTTTTAAACATTATGTTGGCACCCTTCTTCTTTGTTCACTTCACTATCAAGCTCAGGTGGAGAGTTCTGGCTGTTCACCCCTTTGGAATTTTGGCTTTGTGCCAGGGCCTGACTTTTGCATGTACATCCATGTTACTGGCTTATTTGTGTGGAGTTAGTTGTTCCTTGCCGCTCAAACATATTGACTCGAACTTTGAATGAGGCCCCAATTAGTTGACTCCTACGACATGCTGGTTTGGAAGGTAGTGGGTGTATTCTTGTCTTCTCTACAGTGGGGCCCCGGAACCCACCGGGGATCTTGGCACCCTAAAATGAGTACTGGGTAAAGTCCTGGGAATTCAAGGTGCCTGGCCTGATATGCCCACATCGCCCCCGACTGGTCTGTAAAAATGTTTATCACATGTCTCATGTGCCACAGGTGTAAAATGGGCACTTTGTATGTGTAAATATACTTCTAATAATAAAACCATAACAGCTGTGTGCGAATACTTGCTGGCATGTGTATATAATTAGACCCTTTGCTTCGATGCGAGTGAAATTGTTTCACACCGCAACCCTCAACATTTACCATTGCTTTATTCTGGCGGTGGGTGGTTTAGAGACTATGATACGAGAGTCACACTGTGGAAGAGATTAGGACTCACCACATCCCACCCATCCTTCATTGTGGGGAGGACACATTTTGTTTATGTATATCAAAACTCTTTCAGTCCTGAGTGATGCCTGGACTGTGACTGGCCCTGTCCTTTGATTTCCCTCCATAGTGAATAATGTGCTGTCTTAACTTTCAGCTTCAGTCAGAAAATACTTAA